TAAAGTTATGGTTAAACTGAACGTGAGTGCAAAGAGCAACTTGTATAAGCTTGAAACTAAAACTGACTTTTGTTCCACCACAGAAAACCTCAAAGACACACTCGAGCAAATAAGAAATCAAGTGAAAAAGTTGGGATCACTTCTAGATGAAGGTCAGTAGACGTCAATTGAGATATTTGGAGGTATAGAGATTCTATAACTAGGCAAGAAAAAACTGTAACTTAAGCAGTGAACAGCAACTAATACATCAAGAAACAAACGGAAAAAGCGACGGGATGACTGTTTAGCAACTGTTGGTAATTATTGCATGTTTAAACTGGCAGAATTTTGATAATTTCCAACGTCGATATTTGTCAATCTATATTTTGACATAACTATGGCAATGATGACGAAACCTGATGTTAATTTTCAGACAAACTTCAACAGATGAAAAGTGAGATAGCGAACTTGAGTGAGAAGTTAGACACTTTGGTAGCACAAAGAGAGACCGACGATGAAGGTCAGTTCTGAATAAAAACTGATGCAGTTTTTGCACAGTAAAAGAACAGCTTATCCAGCGAAAGACTAGCCTGTGTCACAACCGCTCTGTCTCTTTCGGAGAGGGAGGCTGTTATACAGGCTAGCAAGAGACACATTTCTGACGAAAGTAAAAAAGGAAATAATTTGGCGTAAGGTGGCTCAAACCAGTTTTCTGTTTTTTTGAGATTTCTAGAACTATGTGTGATTTTTCAGACTTGGAACTGTACTGGTTTGAATGGCTGTGCTATTTTTTAAGGTAACTCTCCAATGTGCCTTTCATTGTGTTTAAGTCATAAATTACGGTTGCGCTGTCCTGTTGCGTACTGTAGCAACAAAATTAACCCACCGTTTACCATCAGTTGCATCTATCTTAAAAACTAAGCCAGTTACCCCATATTTGTTTTATAAAAATCTTTTTATTAAACACAGAAGAAAAAACAGACAAAGTTATAAAAAAAAACTCTTTGGAGTGGATTTTTCTTAAATTAAGAAAAATGGAAATTTCCAAGTCGGAGAAATTCCACACCACAGTTTTTTCTTACAATTTCGCACATGCATTCCTCTTTTGTAGTTGAATTTTTTTTTGCATTAAAAAAGCAGGGTCACCGGATCGGTTTTTGAGATATTAGCTTCGTGGATAAGGTTTTTTATTTCTAAGTGCAAAATTAAAATCCGCATGCGAGAAGGCGGTCCGCTGATCAGTAAAGTCTACAATTCCCCACGAATTAACGGGAATGGTCCGCGAAAAGTGTTTTTTTAACTGTTGTCGTCAGCAGCCGAAGCAGTAGAAGAAGAGTACCATAAATACCCGGAGGTGAGACTAGCAAAGTAGAAAGAACGAAGAAAACCTGAAGAGTAGTTTTTTATTCTGCTGTTTTTTGGATTGATAGCCGGCACGATCGATCGCAAAATCAACATCAGAATTTTCGTTTACGTTGCAGCACAGTGGTTTAAAAGGATGTTTTCCTTTGAAATTGCCTGAAGGATGGATGTTTTCGAAGTTAAAAATAAGTGATCACACAAACAGCTTACTAAACCTGGCAGAAACAAAGTTTTACGAAGTAGGCCTCGAGCCGCCGTGTTTGTTTTGATTTTGTAAGCTTTAAATCTCGCGCGCTATCTCGCGAACCCTCGAATGATCGCGTGATGCCTCATGCTGACGTGCGTGCTAGAGCCCAGGTGTCTCACGGAAATATAACTGTTTTGAGCCACCTTAAACTCAACTTTGAGCGATTTGTAATTCCTCTTACTAACCAAGTTCGAGGGCCGCACTGTAAGTTACGGACCGAGTTTTTCCCCATCGATTTATGGCCCAAACGCGAAGCGCGCGGGCCATAAATCGAAGGGGAAAACGAGGATCCGTAACTTACAGTACGGACCGAGAAAACGAGGTTAGTAAGATATTTATTATATCTCTACTGTGTGTCTGACGGGTTCGGGAACGATTTCTATTCATGTGGAACGGCTTCAAATTTCTGACGCACCTAGAAAGCAAAACGACTCAATTTGAAATCATTGTCAAGTGACTCTTAAGTCGTTAGCAGGTTTCAATACACAATTTTAGAAGTAAAAGAAATTTTTAAATTTTTACTCTCTAAAAAAGTTAAGAACACTTGGCGATAAATCACGGAATATTTTGGCAACAAAAACAGCTTTAAATTTTAGCGGGCCGTACAGGAGAATACAGTCCGCTAAATTGACCAATCACAGCGCGCGTACTAACTGAGAGAAATAATAATAATTGTTATTGCAATGT